TCCAGAGGAATTTGTGAATAAATATAACCTGAATGTCAGAGCAAAAATTAATAGTTAGAAAATCGGTTCAACTACTCCCGATCACAGAGTATACGATTGGATCAACATTGGATAGTTCTTGAACACTTGAACTGTCAAACATCCGAAATAGATTTAACCGGAAAATCCGTTCTCATTTCAGAAACATAGTCCTAAATTTAGTCTCACAAAATACCGCTGAATGACGCTGCAGCCTCTAGCGAGAAAAAATCGAATAAATTACCCCATACATAAATATTTGTATGGCCCTAGGAACATAATGGATTACTTCTGTATCGAGTGTTGATGACAATAAAGTTCAAATTATGGACCGCTTTAAAATAAAAGGTATTTTTGAGCGTGGCTCTTAAAAAAAGTTTCGACTCCGACTAGGGTCTAGCTGTCCTTTCTTCAAACAAATTGTCGTTGTGACAGTCCTGTCACGCCATTGCTTGTTTGCTAGCGTGAGCTCTGAAAGTTATAAACGTTTTTGGGCGTGGCACCCGAAAAATCCGCAGTTTTTCCGAAAAATCCGCAGTTTTTCGGCGCGCTTCCTTTAGCCATACAATTTTCCTGCTTTCTACAGCTCACAGGGCCGGTAGGCTTGAGAAATCCAGGGCCGATCTGGCATACCCTATCCGCCCCTGCAAACTAGTATTCCTTAACGACACCAAACTACAAGCAACCGACATTCTCAAACATAAAAAATCGAAAGAGGACAGACCCAACAATAGGGGAGGGGGCGTTGTCTGCCTTATACACAAATCCGTCCAATACAAAAGGCACCCAAATCTAAGAACAAATATGTTACACTCGAAATCGGAAACAATCTGTGGATCTCGGGAGTCATAAGATCTGTGAATGACATAAGGGTCTTCTTTCCAAGAAATGGGAGGGGCCTACTGATAGGAGACCTTAATGCCAAACACATTTCTTGGCTAAATTATAATAACAATAGGGCAGGCAACGTCCTCAACAACTACCTGAACAACAACCCAAACACTCTCCTACACTCACTTCCCCAGCTCAGGGCGACACCCATCGACACTGGATATCGCCTTGTCCAGGGGCCACACAAACATTGACATCAAGACTAAAGACATACTAGGTTCTGACCACCGACCGATCTTCTTGCATTGGAAAAACCACCCTCCGGCGCACGAACTTGGGAAGGTATTTTCGTACAAAAACTTCAACTGGCAACGCTAAAAAGAAAGACTAAACAACCTCACCGTGATACCAACCGCCATCTCCACCATTCAAGAATTAGAAAAACAAGTCGCAACCCTTACTAACAACATCCAGACGATAAGAAACCAGCTTGCACCAAAAATAACAATAAAAGACAGAATCGACAACATTCCAGGAACCATTTTAGAACTCATCAAAGAAAGAAACAGGGTAAAAAGAGCATGGCAAAGGCGCCCTAACCGACTAGACAAAGAAATACTCAAAACTATGAACAAGGAAATAGAGAGAGACATACGGATTCACAGAAACAGAACCTGGATGAAGTATGTCTCATCTCTAGAGACCCAGGACAACTCCTTGTGGAAGCTGGCCAACGGCAGCACAACGAACCGAACTAGTTGCAAACGGCGTCAGCTACCACAAGGAAAATGACAAAGCCGAGATACTGGCAGAATGCTTTGGCACAGTATTTGACGAAGCACCCAACACGACCAACACACAAATTCGCATTACAAACACAACGGACGTCTTTGTCATGCAGAAATACCCAATCCCGCCCACAGTTCTGCGAAGGATCCTGGTAACGCCCATTAAACTGACCAAAACAATTAAAAATCTACAAAACACCAGGACCAGACACGATTGGCAACACGTTAATCAAAAACCTACCGAGGAAAACTATTATGCAGCTTCTGCACATAATTAATGCAATTATAACCCTGCAACACTTTCCAAGACCGTGGAAACAAACTGACATAATAGTTTTCCCAAAACCGGGAAAAGACCACACACTGCCTCAATCATACCGACCAATCTCGCTACTTGATTCGCTAGGCAAAGTCGCCGAAAGACTCATACTCCACAGAATAATACAAACAATCGACAAACTACACTGCCTACCACCAGAACAATTTGGATTCCGACGCAACCACAACACAACCCTAGCAGTGGCGAAAGTTGCACAAGACGCTTCAATAGCCTTCAACAACCATGAAAGCACCTTTCTGCTACTGCTAGACATCGAAAAGGCATTCGACAAGGTATGGCACAAGGGATTAATCTACAAGCCACTAGCAACACACACTTTTCCACTACACTACACAGCACTGATTGCGTCATACCTAAGCGACAGAAACTTTAGAATCAAGACAGAACACGCACTATCCAGACCAAGACCCATAAAAGCCGGTGTCCCACAGGGTACCGTACTTTCACTGATTCTCTTCAACTTGTACATAGCAAACATACCAAAGACTAGAAACACCAGCATAATGATATATGCAGACGACACGGCACTATACACCAGCGCCTTCTTTGCAGAAGATGCAAGGAAAGCGCTGGTTGACCAGTTGGATTTAATCACATCCTACTTAAAGACTTGGAAAATAACAGTCAACTCGGCAAAGACCGAACTGCTCACAATAACCAGGAAACGGACTAACAACATCATGGGACCTCTACTCACACTAAATAACGTCGACATCACACCGAAAACAACAGTTAAATACCTGGGGGTGGTCCTTGACAAAACCCTCAGGGGCGTCCCTGAGGTAAAAAACACGATATGGAAGGCGAATGGGGCAGGGCGACTACTCGCTCCCATAATGAAATCGAATTCCTTCCTCAGCCCATAAAACAGACTACACATTTACAAGACAATCATCAGACCCTCCTTGCTGTACGCCGCACCAGCATGGAGCTATATCATCAACACACAGAAACAAATACTGCAACGCTACCAAAACAAAATACTTAAAACCGCCCTTTACTGCCCAGGGACAGCCGGACAGTGGAAGTGCACAGACTAGCAAACATTGACAGAATTCTGGAATACTTCAACGAAGTTTCGCTGAAGTTTTTCAGAAAGACTCTACATGGACCAACCCTCACCAGAGACCTCACACCTCACAAGCCTTAATCACGACCCACACCACCCCGTAACGCACCGACCAATCCACCACAGACTACCCATTTACTATGAACCGCCCTAATCAGTGTAGCTGAACAAATCACGGATAAAAACAGCATAAAGCTAAAACCAGAAACTGGATAACCATCCCTGACATCCGTGACTAATTCTGCTAACCTGATAAGGGCATTACGCCAAATGACTAAACACCAAAGAAACGAGAAGAAGGGTTTTTAGCGACTTTTCTCTTCACAACGCACGGCAAATATGGAATGACACACAGCACAATGACTAGACTGAACCAATATTGGAAATTGAAACTGAAAAATGACCTATAAGGGGACAAACAGCCTCAGCAAAGTGTCACAATCGCCTGGACGCCGCTACCACTCCGTATTATTTTAATAATTAGGATAAGGTAGCTATAAGAAATAATGTAAATATTGTAAATAAACGTTCTGATTTTGATACTGAGGATAGAAAATCTCGACAAAAAAAAATTTGATTTATCAATTTTTCAATTTTTCTGAGTGCCCTTTTTCATAGATTTCGGCTTCAAATCTGAGAATAATTTAGTGTATGGAGTTTGGGGGATGTTAATTGACCATTAGGATACAAAATCCGACAAAAAAAAATTTGAAACTTTTATCGTTCTAGTAAGAACTTTATCATTTTGATTTTTGAAAATTTTGAAACATCATAACTTTTTTTCTATTTTAGATAGAAAGCTGAAATTTTCAGCGATTCTTATTTCAGTAGAGGTCTACAATCCATGAAAATTTCAGCTCATTCGGACTTATAGTTTCAGAAATAAAATCGCGTCAAACCATTTGGGGTTAATTTATCAAATTTTCAATTTTCTGAGTGCTTTTTTTCAAAGATTTCGGCTCACATCTCAGAATAATTTAGTGTATGGAGTTTGGGGGGTCCCCAATAATCATTTAGACACAAAATCTCAACTTAAAAAAATTTGAAATTTCATCATTTTAGTACTTACAAAGGCTTATGATTAGGATTTTTGAAAACTTTGACACCATAACTTTTTTTCTATTAAGGATAGAAAGCTGGAATTTTCAGCGATTTTTATCCCATAAAGGACTACAATTCCTGAAAATTTCAGCCTTATAATTTCAGAAATAAAATTTGGAATAAATTCATAAATGTTTCAATTTCCTGACGTTCAAATCTCAAGAATAATTCAGTGTATGTAGTTGGATTTTCTAAGAAACAAGGTCACAATAAATAAACCTCCTTTTCGCGACACGTTTCGATTTTTATTCTCCCGGCACAAAGTACTATTTCCGACACGGCATTCCGTCAACCCCCCATATTTTCGTAATGCGATAAGCATACGGGGATCTTACCGGCCTTGTCAGCCTTCAGATACATCCGGCCCATGGGACTCAGGTTCGTCCTGTACTCACACACTCCGTTTTCTACAGGATATAACTTTTCAATTTTTTTTTTACTCTTTTTTCAACACTATATGGTTATTGGATGTAGAACAAATAAATTTCTATTATATGGAGTAAAGTAATCAAATTAGCCCTTAAATTTATAATGGAAATGATGGTTAGTTTGGTGAGTGGCATTCCTTTATACTTTGGCGCCGACCTAAAAGGTCTTTTGTGCCACGTTAAATTAAATTTTCCTTGGGACGGTATAGCTAGTTGACTGAATACTAAAATTCTATTAAAATTTATACTTCATTATAACTGGTTTTTGAAATAAAAGGTTTATCAAATACTTATAAATTGTGTAAAATAATTGTTGGTCAATGCACTTAAAAAGGAAAATTCAATTTAGTTTCTTTGATTATTTTGTTCTGCATCCATAAACAACCAAATAGCAAAATACAAAAAATATTTAGTAAAAATCTTACCAGGAATATTGTTGCAATGTTTGTCGGGCAATTGTACAGCGATACCGAAACCTCCCAATTTGACCGGAGCCGAGTTTTCTTTCGTAGCCAGAAGGATGCTTTCTGGTTTTATGTCTCGGTGAATGATGTCATTTTCGTGACAGTATCGTAGGGCTTCGAGTATTTGCCGCATGTAATGACTAAAAGAAAAAGAGAACATAAACTTCATAAATGTTTCATAGACTTTTCTTCAATTTCTTATGTTGTCGTAAATTCCTACTTTCTTATTGAAAAGTCGAGCCAGGAACAATCTAGGGAAGTTATTAGAATGTTGAATCATGTGAAGGTGGGGGAAATGTAATGTAAGACAATAATCTTTAAGCACTTACCTTGCAACAGCTTCGCTGTAAGCAAATCCTTGCGAAGCCCTTTGCACCACTTCGAAACATAAATCGGAACCGTCCATACTGGAAAACAAAATTAATTTCAATTATGCGTCTACAATAAACGAATTCCATATGAAAATTGTTTGGAGCTACTTTTTTTTTTTCATAAAAGCGAATCCTTTGTTTCACATTTTCGCCCCTATTTTGCTACTTTGTAACTGAGTTTTTCCAACTGGGGCTTTTCCGGGATTATTTTTATTATTAAATTCGTAAATAAAAGGAAACGGCCAAATGAATTATTTGATTTATACAACGCTATGAGTCTCATTAGTTTTAGAGTAACATTAATTCTATATAATGCACATGTTTGGATGTTTTTTTCAATAGTTCCTTGAAATGTCGACATTAGTTTTGTACCTTCATCACTTTCAAACAGTGGCGGCTCGTCAGAGGAGGCAGGGAAGGCTACACCTCCCCCAGAAAATTGAAAATTCAATCTCAATTTTTTATTTCTGATTTCTAATTAAAATAATTATTAACAAATTACACTTTCCAATTTTCGATATTTTAATGTAATTTAGAAAAGTCTGACAACATTATTTTAATCAATCCCGCGCCTCCACGACAAATATCTGTGAATCTGGGATACTCAGTAATACCGGCCCGAAGGGCCGGAGTTATATGCGAGCCCGAAGGGCCGAAGTTATATGCGAGCCCGAAGGGCCGGAGTAATACGAGCCCGAAGGGCTAGAGTTATACGCGAGCCCGAAGGGCCGGAGTTATACGCGAGCCCGAAGGGCTAGAGTTATTTTAATCATGGGGCCTAGTTTATAATTCTATTGGTCAGCGGATAATTTAGAGCTAATTAAAAACCGGGAGTATTTAAAATGCGATTTTTAGCGTCCGATCAAAGAGTCGGGAATATTCAAAAACTTTAGTTTTATCAAATTGGCTTTGAAATGTTGGTTTTTTTAAGATTTTTACTTTTTTCAGAAAACGGTGGTTTTTGCAAACATATAATACCTTATCATTGTCTTTGTCTTACTCACTATAATCAATAAGGAAACTTTGTAATGTCATTTTCATTGAAATTAAACTAAAAACAATTTTTCTACTTGCGTGCGCAAAGTTATTACTTTGCGCACTCATTTGCGTGCGCAAAGTTGAACTTTGTGCACGGAAACTCTTTGCGCACTCATTTTTGTTACGCATAGTTACCACATTTATACTCGATTTTTCAATGTTTTGTGAGTTTCTGGATAACTTATATTCAGAAAGAAGGGCCTGATGTAATTTTTATTCCAAGAAAGGCATTAGAGTAATGTTTAGCTTTTTTAATTTGACACTTTCCGTATGAGGAGCGAGGGGAGGAAAAATCCAGCAAAAGCAGATGTGAGGTCATGTGACCATTGGCATGGAGAGCCACCAACTCACGTTCCTATGGAGTATCAGATTATAAAGGTTGGACTGTAAGTTATACTCCTCCATACCAAAATTTTGGCAAGAAATACAAAATTAGCGGCTTGTTCAAATTTTAAGTAAACCTCGCTAGCACAACCAATGCTGTGCAAATAAAGTCAAGCTGATCACTGAGAAAAATATTGAAAACACAAGACATTGAACTAGGAGAGAAATTTACCAATTTTGAGCATCTAAAAACATTTAAGAAGATTAGGTACAGCTCCTCTGGATGCAAATCTTCAAACACTCGTAGAAAAAGTATTGTTCCTAACACTTGCGCAAAGTGTCTTTCCCGCACTCAAAGCTTATCCGAACTCCGCTTCGCGTCGTTCGTCTAACTGCTTTTTCGTGCGGGAAAGTATCACTTTGCGCACTTGTTAGGAAAATAACTATTTCCTATGATTTATTTGGGGAATTTTAATTATTATAATCATTATTAATTAATTATTAAATTGAATTTTAAACAAAAAACCCTTTTAAAATGTTATTTTTGTTTTCCGAAATGAGATGTGGCAACGTTGCTTTTAGTTGGCCATTTTGAAGTGACGCCTTGTAATTTTTTGATAGTTTTTCCTCGAATTTTTCAGTTTTCCGAGGCTTTTCAATGGAAAAAAGCAATTTAACATACGAGGCTTTGCGTTTTCTCTATTTTCTAGCAAAAATGTCCAGTTTTAAAATGACATAAATAACAAAATCCCAATTAAAATGGTTTTTCTGAAAGTTTTGATATGGCAACACCGTTTGTACCATTTCAAATAAAGTCTGTTTTTTTTTTAAAGATAATTCCCCAAATCAAAAATTTAGTAACTATGTTGGCAACACAAGCCTTTTCTACATAAAAAATTTGGAAGCATTGACAATTTTACATTGTATTGCCAACATAATGTCATTTTGACTTTTATCTTTAAAAAAAAACAGACATTAGGTTTTGTAATAAATGTCATTTGCCAGTTTTGACAGTCGGCAATTTTTAATTGACGTGTTTACATTTCTATCTAGCTTTTCCTCGAATTTTCCACTTTTCCAAGCCGTTTTCAGTCAAGAAAACCGATTTGAAATACGAGACTTTGAATTTCCTACATTTTGTGCTAAAAATTCCCAGTTTTCCAATGAGGTAAGTGACAAAAACTCAAATTTCATTAAGTAGGCTTTAAAATGTCATTTTTAGAGGTTTTTCTTTGAATTTTTCCGCTTTTTCAGGGCTTTTCTACTCGGAGAAATCGATTTAAAGTACTAGGCTTTGAGTTTTGTTCATTTTCCACCAAAAATTTCCAGTATTTTAACGGGGTAAGTGAGAAAAACTTTAGTTTTATCAAGTAGGTTTTGGAATGTCATTTTCGATGTTTTTTTTTTTGGGATTGTTATTTAAGGTTTTTGGGGTCCGGGGATCGTTTTCTATCGCTTTTTTTCTCGAAATTCGCAAAATAAATAAAAAAAACTTTTTTGACGTTGACAGCTGTCAATTTTTTTTGACACAAATCGATAAATAGCGTCGCGAAACTGCCTTATACTGGGGTTTGATTTTCGTAGCTTTTATAGTAGAGCGGGGAAAAAATCGAACATGTGCCAAATTTGACAGGTGACAATATTGCCAAAGTGTAGTGCGACAAAAGTTTTATCCGAACGAACCCGTTCATTGTTAACTGATGTTTCATACTCCGGCCCTTCGGGCCGTAATCTTTGAAACAAAGAGACGTCATTTTGTATCGATTGTCAAATAAACACAAGGTTTGAAATTTCAATTTTTTGACGTTTGTTGTATCATGAGCAGTGTTGCCATATGTTTTTCTTTCAAATCTCGAGCTCGAAGGGCCGAGATTATAGATTATTTTTAAGCCAATCAAGAGCCGGGAATAAACAAAATTCGAATCCCCAAACCAATCAAGAGCCGGGAAAATTCAAAAATTCGAATTCCAAACCCGACAGGAAAATGAATTTTTTATACCAACTGTTGCTAGATGTTGTTACATAAATCTCACCCTAAAACCCTTTGTTTTTTGGAAAAAACAAAAGATTTTTTTTTTGACATTGACAGCTGTCAAAATTTTAATGGGCATATAGATATAGCCTCGGCGAATACGTAGGAAGTACCAATTTTTTTTTTAACATATGTCAAAAAAGACGTTCGGCGTACGGTTGGTTTTTGACATATATCGATGAAACTTCTTATTTTAGGGTTTTCGGAGCCTGGGGATCGTTTTCTGACATTTGTTTTTTAAAAAAAAGAAAAGGTAAAAATTTTTGACATTGACAGTTGTCAAAATTTAAAAAAAAAAACCCACATGAGCATATAGATTTAGCCTCGACAAATACGTAAAAAGTAGGCAAACAGGGCCAATTTTTTGACGTTTGTTGTATTATAAGCAGTGTTGTCATATGTTTTTTTTCGAATCTCGATTCTGGAAGGCTGAAGTTATCTCAATTATGAGCTCAAAGGGCCGAGGTTATACGAGTCCGAAGGGCCGGAATCATTCGAACCCGAAGGTCCGAGATTATACGAGCCCGAAGGGCCGGAATTATACGAACCCGTTCATTGTCAATTGATTTGAATTTTCCGGCTCTTCGGATCGTCATCTTTGAAACAAAAAGACGCCATTTTATATCGACTGTCAAAAAAAACCAAAGCCTACATTGATATTTCAAATTTTTGACGTTTGTTGTATCATGAGCAGCGTTGCCATATGTTTTTATCAAATCTCGATTTATAAGTTATTTTAATCCCAATCATTGACATTTCTGAAAAATATTTCCTTTAAAATTCCCAAATATCCTTTGAAATCCCCAAAAATCTATTAAAATCTCAGAATTCCATAATTTAGTGGAATTTCGGTAGAATAATTATGTTATTCTGAAAAAGGAATTAGATGTGAAATTTTTGCGGAGTTTCCATAGAATTCACATTAAATTTTAATTCCTCTCGAATTACTTTAAATTTCAGTGAAATTCCGATCGAATTACACGAAATCCTAAATGAATTACATGGAGGAATTTTAAACAATTACATGAAATTACACCGAAATTCCTAACATGAAATTTCAGTTGTTACTGAATTTTAGTAATGCCGAGGAATTTCCAACTAAAAACATGAAATTTCGGTGATATTCCGAAAAATTACCATGTAATAACATGAAATTTCAATATATTTCGATGAATTTTTAAGAAATTACTTGAAACTTCACTAATATTCCCAGAAGTTCCTGGCTATTCAAAGAGAATTTCAGTGAAATTCCGAAAAATTCTTATGAAAATAAATTAAATTTTGAAAATTCCTTGAAGTTTCATTGGACTTTCGAGAAATTTTCGGTTATGAACGTGGATATTCTCATTATACCCAAAAAAGAGGTCGCAAAGACTTCTTAAAGCGAACGAAAAGGGCGAAATTCTACACCATCTCCCGTCCCTGAACCAAGTCTACAGCGCCCCTACTAATGAACCGACAAATCACGTAAATCCTCCTGTTATTTCTGCCAGTCCACGTGGACCTATGCTGGCGATGTGAATATCGTGGCCACCGCCGTGACGCATGTACCGGAAAACCTGTCTCGTTTCGTCCAAGATGTGACAGAGTGGGTACGTTGTTCCGGAACTGCCCCTGCAGGCGAACTGCCGAAACCACCCTACGAGACCCGAAGCGTCCGTTTGCCGGATCCCAGATAGAAAAAATTTATAGGGATAAATATTTTTACCCATGAGGAGGGGGTGTGTAACGAAGTTACGTAATTTTTTTTTTTGTTCTGAAAGGTACCGCGAGTTTAAGTGCATATTTCAATTATATTATTTTCAATCCTCAAATAAATTATTAATTTTACGCGTGATCTCGCCAGCAGACGCATCGCTTGCTTGGGGAAGCGCTGTAATCTTTTGGTCATGCTCGGTTTTCCACTGCCTTAACATGTGACGCCGGCTGCCACTCACCCATATTTGAGGCGGCGAGCCCTGCAAAACTGATAGTCCGCCGACAGCAACCAGTCAGTAACAGTTTCCAGAGTGCCGCGCGCTGCGTTTCAGGTTAAGTAAGAATGCGGTAAGACATAGTTTTACACTTGCTCCTTGGTTGATGTCCGGGTGACGGTCTACCTGGTGCACGTGGGCCCTCGACCACTTTAATCCTGAGGGTGGCGCCCGAGATAACAGTAGGATGAGAAACCGTTTACCGAACTACTCCGGTTCCGTACAAAAAGCGCATTACAACCTCAATGAAAAAAAATGGGTTTTTATGAAAATATGTTCATTTCCACCCTAGTCTCAGGCAGAAATAGTACTGAAAAATATAGGCAGTACTAAAATACGTCGTTTGGTAAACCTCACTTGACTTTCAAAAATGAAACAAAGTCATTACAATTATTTCAGATCAGTTAATTAATTAATTACTCAATAGCCTATATTGTTCTATTTCAAGGACACTTTTAATGTCTGTTTTATCCAGTCAGTTAAGTTTAATAGGCAATTATACTTACTATTCAAAAACCATATAAAGCATTCCTTCAGACGAATAAGTCTCTAAAAGTTCCACAATATGCGGATGCTTCAACATGTGACATATTGTAGCCTCACGTTTCAAATCTGCAATCAAAATCAAGCAATATAACTAAGAAATTGTTTGTCTGTAAAAATCAAACCATTGGTGCTTAGTCCAGGACTCGAAGTAAATTTGGCTACGTCTACAATTTTGACTGCAAACTGTTGAGCGGTTTGTCGATGAATGCATCTTCTGACTATACTGAATGGACCTCTGTAATAAAATAGTAAAATCCAATTAGCGTCAATAAATCAGTTTTGCGAAAATTAATTTCGAAACTATGCTGTTCAAAGTCATTTTAAGTTTGATTTATTGAATTTAATTACGTTTGCGAGTGGGAAAATTGGTTATCAATTATTAATAATAATTATTGTCTCTGTACTCGACTCCTATGCATATTTAATAATAATATTGAACAAATCCACCCACATACAGAAACCTAAAAATTGTTTAATGAAAAAGTATGAGTTGTTGCTTTAATTTGAGAAAAATAAATCTTCCTCAGTCATATTCGTCGACATTCGAGGCTTATTTTTATGCAGCGAAATTAAAATTCTCTGCTCAATCTCTCAGGAAATGTATTTTAGCTTTAGAGAAACGTCTGCAACTTGAATGTTTTTTGTTTCTCTAAGAATGGTTGGATAATGAATTAATGGTAAACTATTCCTAGAATTCTAAAAACTAGGCAAAGTTTTATTTTGAAATAGAACTTTGAATATCTCTAAACTGGCTCAATGTTTGTAGTGTATGGAGTTTGGGGGATCCCAAAGGACCATTAGGACACAAAATCTCAACAAAAAAAAATTGAAATTTCATCCTTTTAGCTACCTTATGATTTAGATTTTGCAAAACTTTAAAAGGTCATAACTTTTTTTCTATTAAAGATAGGAAGTTGAAATTTTCAGCGATTCATATTTCAGCAGAGGACTACAATCCCTGAAAATTTCAACTCATTTGTACTTATAGTTCCTGAGATAAAATCGTGTTAAGCAATTTGGGGTGATTTATCAATTTTTCAATTTTTCTGAGTGCCTTTTTTCATAGAATTCGGCTTCAAGTTAGTGTTTGGAGTATGGGGGGTTCCAAATGATTATTTGAACACAAAATTTCCACATAAAAAAATTTGAAATGTCCATCATTTTAATAGTACCTACTAAGACAGGGGGTAAACCACCTAGGAATTCGAATTATTGTCACCAGCCTGGTGAAATATGTGGCAATGTAGGGAAATAAAGGGAAATATTAGGCATTACGGGGAAATATGCATTGCAATATGTGGAAATATAAGATATTATTAGGAAATATCGGGGTATTATTAGGAAATATCAGTATTATCAGGAAATATCGAGGTATAATCAAGAAATATCGAGGATTATCCAGGTGTTATTAGGAAATGGGAGAATTTTGTTTTCTAATGCGCATGCGTCAATATGAAATTATTCCACCAATAATCAGCAATTTCAAGCAGCTGATATTGCAAGGTTGCCACAGTCCAAGGTTCCTAAAGTCAATAGAATGTCTGGTATTGGGGTAACCTAATGACGCATCAGCATCTGGGGTGACTTATGGAAAGTTGCATTATGTTGAGACACCCCAGATGACGTCATAAAGTTATCATTCAACCTACCTCTCTCAAACAACCTGGGCTACAGTCATAAAAAAATAAAAATTTAAATAGCCCTGAAACACTTTGTTTGTCCCCCCATCGAAAGTAACGTTATGCGTGTGACGTTACGTTGATTATTTTCTTCCAGTTTTTCCTTTTGTCTTCAGTCTTCCTCTTGTCTCTTGTCCTCCAAAATTTGCATGAAATCTGACAAGATTTGATCAACTTGTTCTATTTCGGATGCCGTCAGTTTGCTCTCATCTATTCACCATAGAATATCCTGTATCTTTCTTGAAACTTGATTTTAAATCTAAATTTTTGTGATGGAGTGAATGGAATATTTTAAATAAACCTCTCTGTGGACTTGCTTTTTAATATCGAAATCACTATTCTTGTATCACTCACAGTTTCCAAATAGAATTCTATGGAACTTTCTAAAATTTTACAGAAAATTTGCTTTTCAGCTTGTCGTAGATGTTGAAGCCAGCAATACAGTCACTATTCTTGTATTACTCAAAGTTTCTGAATAGAATTCTATAGAAGTTTCTTCTTTAAATGGAATTTTAAAGATTATACAATTCATTGTACATTATTCCTATATGACACGAGAGGCTTAATAAGTGATAAGCCCTTTGGGATTATCGCGCTTGGTAGCAATATTGTTAATTGGTCATTAATGATTATAAAAATTGATAAAATATTGAAGTTTAGTTCGTTGTATAACCTTTTAAATACCACTCGATGTTTCAGGATTACCTAATACTTTCACCTGACACTCAACGCGTTACCAGCAACACCACTCCTCCTTCGGAGTCGGGGTGGCGCTGCGTAACGCGTTTCAATCGTGACAGGTAAAAGTATTATCCGGTAATCCTGAAACCTCTTGTGGTATTCTATTCGAAAATCCTCGAGAAAAACGCTTGTTTAGCTGGTTTCGATGTCAAAGTCAGTGATAAAGTCACTAATCTTATACTACTTCCAGTTTTTAAATATAATAGAAGTTTATGGAATTCTCCAGAAAATCCGTTTGTAAGCCTCTTTTGAGATGTCAAATCTGGTAAAGTCACTTTTCATTTCAATAAAGGTTCTTTGATTGTTCGCCTACTGATTAGCGATTAGAAAGACGCGAGTCCCGAGAATTCTCGCCAGGTTGTCGATGCATTTTCGTGACAATAATGAAGGAAATATTGGCGAGTTATCAGAAATTACGGAGAAATTATGTTAAATATTAGGGAATTACGGGAAATATAAGGGAATTATAAGGCATTATGGGGAATTATGAGATGAGATATCGAGAATTACTGGAAAATATAGGAAATAAAGGCAATATTCGGGAAATAATTCCCCCAAAGGGAAATATTTGTCAAATTTTTCAGGGGTGGTTTACCCCTTGGAGGTAGAGCTACCTTATGATTTAGATTTTGGAAAACTTTGAAAGGTCATAACTTTTTTTCTATCATAGAAATTTTCCGTGATTCTTATTCCAGTAGAGGACTACAATCCCTGAAAATTTTAGCTCATTTGGACTTATAGTTCCTGAGATAAAATCGTGTTAAGCAATTTTGGGTGAATTATCAATTTTTCAATTTTTCTGAGTGCCTTTTTTCATAGATTTCGGCTTCAAATCTAAGAATAATTTAGTGTATGGAGTTTGGGGGATGTTAATTGACCATTAGGATACAAAATCTTAAAAAAAAAAAATTGAAATTTCATCGTTTTAGTAAGATGATTTAGATTTTGGAAAACTTTGGAAGGGCATAACTTTTTTTCTATTATAGATAGAAAGCGGAAACTTTCACTGAAATTTATCTCAATAAAGGGACTACAATTCCTGAAAATTTTAGCTCATTTGCACTTATAGTTCCTGAGATAAAATCGTGCTTTATCAATTTTTCAATTTTTCCGAGTGCCTTTTTTCATAGATTTCGGCTTCAAATCAGGTCTATAAACCTAGCAGTCCCAAGGTGGAAAAAAACTTCGGGAATTATATAATAATTAGGTGCTTTTTAGGTGCTAATCAGGGCCTCTAATTGAAAATTAGGTGCTCCTTTAGTTTTTGAGAAAATCAAAAAAAAACTAAGGGACTGCTAGGTTTATAAAAGGTAGCAGTCCCCTATAGTAAGAAGATATTTTTTCAAATTTTTTCTTTGTATCAGAATTGGGTGCTTTTTAGGTGCTCCTAAATAGTCCAAGAAAAAATAGAATTGATTAATTATCAACTGAGTTACAGATTTTTTTTTAATTATTAGGGGACTGCTAGGTTTTTTTTGATTTTCTCAAAAACTAGAGGAGCACCTAATTTTTAATTAGAGGCCCTAATTAGCACCTAAAAAGCACCTAATTATTATATAGTTCCCGAAGTTTTTTTCCACCTTGGGACTGCTAGGTTGATAGACCTGGCTATCTGGATGATTAAACAAGACAATCAGCGATACACGGCAGAAATTGCCAGTCTTAAGATGGATTTGTCTAGGGCAATTGCTGATTACAGTGCATCTGAGAAGTTGATTGAGGGTCAAAAAATATCTCTACACACAATAAAAAATCACAACTGATAATTGTAGGTAACAGGAATAGCGCCGTCATTGGTAGTGCATCTCTTTACAAAAGGCTTACAAGATCAAAGTATGATTTGAATTGTCAATACGAAGAAGGATGGCTCTTTGAGGATATGGTCACTCAGACTTTGGGGTTCGTCTGTCGAACGGCGACCATGTTATAATTTTCGCAGGTTGTGAAAATGTTTTGAAAGGGAAACCAATTACACCAGCAGTCTTGAACGGTTTATTGACGCTATCTGAAAAAACAAATATGATAGTGGTTGGTTCTCCTTTTGCAACTTATAGAGGAGTGTTAAACGGTTTCATACATAAAAATAATTGCGTCATACAAACATGTCTACATAATGATGCTAACAGTTAATTTTTCATAAATATGAACGGTTTTATGCAGTAGGTACGAAGAAAGGTTTTGGTATGCAGAACCTTCATATGACAAAAAATCCATAAAACCGCGAAAAGTAACATTCAGGAATTTTCGATATTTCGATACTATTCTGTTTGGGCAGGATGCCTCCACCGTAGAATGGGACTTTATCCAAGTGATTCCTAATTTGATAATGAGAACAATACCTCACCAATGCCGTAAACTTTTTTTTCGATATGCATGCTGTATTTAAGTCGACCGACAATCAGATATAGCTTGATTATTACAAAGACTTGCGCAACTACCTCTCTAATGCGGTACAACATGAGAAAAGGGCATATATTCAAACTCATGTGATTGGCAACAAAGCGTGTCCTCGGAAGATCTGGAGAGAACTGGATACTTGTCATATTCTGGGTCCAGAAATAAATAACTCCAACAACATAAATTCTCTCCTTGTTAATGGGGTTAGAAATATATATATATAGATATCAAAATGAATATCTGCAGTCACGTTCAGAAAAATAGTTTCAGGCTTGGAGTGAACTTCAATTTCACTCCTGTGACCGCCGACATGATTATAGAAGAGCAAGTTTCTGACATACAATCGAATGCCTCGGGTCTGGATGGAGTCACTTTGAAGATGCTGAGGCTTGTTTTACCATACTGCAATGATGCTCTT